ACAGTAGGGGTGACAAATAGATTTAAGAAATTAGATCTGATAGACAGAGTGCCTGAAGAACTATGGATGGAGGTTCGCAACATTGTACAAGAGGTAGCAACTAAAACCATCCCAAAGAAAAAGAAATGCAAGAAAGCAAAATGGCTGTCTGAGAAAGCTTTGCAAATAGCTGAAGAAAGAAAGGAAGTGAAAGGCAATGGAGAAAGAGAAAGATACAGCCAATTGGATGCAGAATTCCAGAGAATAGCTAGAAGAGATAAGAATGCCCTCTTAAATGAACAGTGCAAAGAAATAGAAAGAACAATAGAATAGGAAGAACAGAGATCTCTTCAAGAAAATTGGAGATATGAAAAGGAGATTTTAGTTAAACTAAGTAGGTTATGAAATAATGAGAAAGGTTAAATATTTGGGAGTATATATTACAGCTTCTAATGTTAAATTGTATAAGAATAATTATGAGACATTATGGGTAAAAGAGCAAAAGGATTTAAATGATTGGAAAAAATTACAGTTATCTTTACTGGGAAGAATTTCGGCAGTCAAAATGAATATTCTTCCAAAGTTTCTCTTTTTGTTTCAAATGATACCTATTTTGAAAAAAGATGCTAACTTGGAGGAATGGCAGAAAGGGATTAACAAGGTTATTTGGGCAAGTAAAAAAACAAGAGTTAAGTTTAAGATTATACAAGATGCACGGGAAAGAGGAGGACTCAAGGCACCTAATCTAAAATTGTATTATGATGCGGCGGCTTTAACATTGATTAGTGATTGGCTCAACTTAACAAACAAAAATATTCTTTCTTTTGAAGGATGAGATTTATTATATGGATGGCATGCATATCTAATTTATAATAAAAAAAGTAGATCAGGCTTTTAAATCTCACATTTTAAGAAATGCTTTATTACGTGTCTGGAAGAAGTATTATTATAGGTTAAATTATAAAATTCCAATTTGGGGGATTCCCGGACACGTGATAGAGGGTCAACTAGAGGAGTGAATTTGGATAGGATTTCTTATAAGGAATTACTTGATTTGGTAGGGAAGGATTGGCAATTAAAATCTTTAGCTGAGTTGAAGCAAGAAAATATTGTACACTCTTGGTTTCAAAATAATCAATTGTTAGTTAGGTGGAGTTTAGATCAAAAGGTTGGCATTACTTTAGAGGATGTGAATTTGATAAAACAGATTAAAGATCAAACTCTAACTCATATAAAGAGAATTTATAGTATCTTAGTAGAATTGGATTCTGAAATGGAATTAGTTAAAGATTGTATGGTAAAATGGGCACAAAATATTCAAGAGCCGATTCTATTGGATACATGGGAGACAATTTGGGTTAGAAACATAATATTTACTCAAGCTCAAAATTTGAGAGAAAATTTTTATAAAATGTTTTATAGGTGGCATTTGGATCCCCAAAAGTTGTCTTGTATGTATCCTAACTTGCAGCCCAAATGTTGGACATGTGGTAGTTTGGATGTAACTTATTTTCATATTTGGTGGACTTGTAGAAATGTAAAAGCTTTTTGGATTAAAATTTGGTGGATCATTCAGAATATTTTTAAAAGAAAGATAAAGTTTACTCCGCAATTATTTCTGTTGGGTATTATTGTAGATTTTGATGTTAAGGAAACTAATTTGATGTTGAATTTAATAACAGCAGCAAGGCTGTTCGTAGGGCAATATTGGAAGAAGGATTGTTTGCCTACTATAGAAGAATGGACGCTTAAAGTGTCAAATTTAGCAGAAATGGCTAAGATTTCTGCTTATTTGAAGGATTATTCACAAGAAAGATACATTTCGGTTTGGAGAAGATGGATAGATTATATTCAGAATAAATATGGGACTAAAAAGTTCCATTTATTTTATGAATAAATTATTGAATATTATTATTGTTATTTTGGATCATCGCACAGTCAGCCAGATGTTCAGACTGGATTTGGCATTTTGTCTACCTATCGAGTCCTTACCCAGGACCTGGAATAGGCAGATGTGGATGTTTGATGGTATTACAGATATCTTTGCAGGATGGAAGCAGTTCCTAGTAAGGCCGCCTTTTGCAATTGACTAATATGAATTTGTCAATGCCAATGGTGTTCAAGTGGTGCTCCAGTTGTTTTGGGATTGCACCCAAGGCAGGCATACTATTGGTACTACCCTTGCTTGCTTTTGCCACAGTCTTTCTATTTCTATTTGTAGGTCTTTGTATTTTGTTATCTTCTCCAGTTCTTTCTCGTCTATTCTGCTGTCTCCAGGCACTGCCATGTCCACTATCCAGACATTTTGTCTTTCTTATCGACAGTTGTTAAGTCTGGGGTGTTATGTTGCAGGTGCTTGTTTGTTTGAATTCTGAAGTCCCAGAGAAGTTTAATTTTATCATTTTCTATGACTTTCTCTATTTTATGATCCCACCAGTTCTTGCTTACAGGCAAATGATATTTTTTGCAGATCTTCCAATGCACCATTGTTGCTACTTTGTCATGCCGCTGCTCATAGTCAGTCTGTGCAATCTTCTTGCAACAGCTTACCAAGTGGTCCACTGTTTCTTCAGCTTCTTTCCATAGGCAGCACTTACTGTCTGTTGCTGTCTTCTCAATTTTGACTTTATATGCATTTGTCCTTAAGGCTTGGTCTTGTGCAGCCAGAATTAGTTCCTCGGTCTCTTTCTTCAATTTTCCTGCTCTTAGCCATTTCCAGGTCTTATTATTATCTGCTTTCCCAGCTATTTTTTTCATGTATTGGTCCATGTAGTGCTTTGTCTTCCTATGCCTCTATTCTGTTCTTCATTTGGTCTTTCTTGTAGGCCAGTTTGATCTCTCCAGTAGTCAGTAAGCCTTCCTGACATACTAATTTCAGTGCATCTTCATCATTATTCTTCAGATATTCTTCCAAAGCCATTTTTTCTTCTTCAACCATCTGATGTACTTGTAGCATTCCACGCCCACCTATTTGCCTGTGGAATGCTACAACTACATCAGATGCAGCATTCCACAGGCAAATTATTATTATTATTATTTTAGTTAGTGGAATTTTTATTATATTGTATTGTTTATAAATTGGGATTTTAATTTGATTATATGATAAAGTTTATTTGTAAATTGTTTATTCTGTGTTAAAAGAGAGTTAAAGTGCATTATATTTGTTTATCTACAAAGTTGGTTAATGTTAGTTAGATTATGATTATTATATTTGTTACCCTCTATTCAGCTCTGGGAAGTGGGGGAGGGGGGAGGGGGGTAAGGTGGGTGGGTTTGGGGTATATTTTGTAATTTTTGTAAAACTTTTCAATAAAAAAAAAAAGAAAATTGGAGATATGAAGGGAATGTTTCAGGCAAAGATGGGCATGATAAAGGAACAAAATGGCAGGGACCTAACAGAGGCAGAAGAGATTAAGAAGAGGTGGCAAAATTACACAGAAGAACTATACAAGAACGAACTTAACATCCCAGATAACCACAATGAGATGCTCACTGACCTCGAACCAGACATCCTAGAATGTGAAGTGAAATGGGCCTTAGGAAAGCTGAGCAACAACAAAGCTAGTGGAGGTGACAGTATTCCAGCTGAGCTATTCAAAATCTTAAAAGATGATGCAGTAAAAGCGCTACACTCAATTTGCCAGCAAATTTGGAAAACCCAACAATGGCCACCGGATTGGAAAAGGTCAGTTTACATTCCAATTCCAAAGAAAGGCAATGCCAAAGAATGTTCAAACTATCGCACCATTGCACTCATTTCACATGCTAGTAAAGTTATGCTTAAAATCCTTCAAACTAGACTCCAGCAGTATGTGGATTGAGAATTTCCAGAAGTACAGGTAGGATTTCGAAGAGGCAGAGGAACTAGAGATCAAATTGCCAACATACACTGGAGAAAGCTAGGGAGTTCCAGAAAAACATCTACTTGTGCTTCATTGACTATGCTAAAGCCTTTGATTGTGTGGATCACAACAAATTGTGGCAAGTTCTTAAAGAGATGGGAGTACCAGATCATCTTATTTGTCTCTTGAGAAACCTCTATGCGGGTCAAGAAGCAACAGTAAGAACTGGACACGGAACCACTGATTGGTTCAAAATTGGGAAAGGAGTCTGGCAAGGCTGTATTCTGTCGCCCTGCCTATTTAACTTATATACAGAGCACATCATGAGAAAGGCAGGGCTAGCTGAATCAAAAGTTGGAATTAAGATTGCCGGGAGAAATATCAACAACCTAAGATATGCAGATGATATCACTCTAATGGCAGAAAGTGAAGAGGAACTAAAGAGCCTCTTGATGTGGGTGAAGAAAGAAAGTGCAAAAGTTGGCTTAAAACTCAACATTAAGAAAACCAAGATCATGGCATCCAGCCCTCTCAATTCCTGGCAAATAGATGGGGAAGAAATAGAGGTAGTGACAGATTTTATCTTCCTGGGCTCCAAGATCACCACAGATGGGGACTGTAGCCAAGAAATTAAAAGACGCTTGCTCCTGGGGAGGAAAGCTATGGCAAATCTAAACAGCATACTAAAAAGCAGAGACATCACCCTGTCAACAAAAGTATGCATAGTCAAGGCCATGCTTTTCCCAGTTGCAATGTATGGCTGTGAAAGTTGGACCATAAGAAAGGCTGAGCGCAAAAGAATTGAGGCCTTTGAACTGACTCCTTTGAGTCCCATGGACTGCAAGGCGATCAAACCTGTCAGTCCTAGAGGAGATCAACTGGCATGTATTTATGATGGCTGCAGTGTTCTGGTGATTATGTGATCACTTTTACAATATTCTGACAAGTACAACCGGTCAGTCCTAGAGGAGATCAACCACGACTGCTCTTTAGAAGGCCAGATCCTGAAGTTGAAACTCAAGTACTTTGGCCACCTAATGAGAAGAAAGGATTCACTGGAGAAGAGCCTAATGCTGGGAAAGATTGAAGGCAATAGAAGAAGGGGATGACAGAGAATGAGTGGCTAGATGGAATCACTGAAACAGTAGGCATGAGCTTAAATGGACTCCAGAAGATGGTAGAGGACAGGAAGGTCTGGAGGAACATTGTCCATGGGGTCATGATGAGTCAGACACGACTTCACAACTAACAACAACAACAATGAAACGTACTCACAGAAAATATTCAGCTCACTATCCCCTAACTCCAATTGCTGAAGAGGAACAAAAGATTATCTCTTGACTCAGTCTTTTTAATACAGGAGCAATGTGGAGTGGCTTTGGTAGCTTACATGATCAAACATTGGGATGATCAAACTGAATTTTCATTTTATCTCTTCTGGTAGTTATTTATGGGTTTGTGATAATCCCTGCTTTCATGAAAAATGAAAAAACTTAAGACTGAGGTTAAAGAAATCAAGAGCTCTAATCTGGGAGGTTTTTTTATAAAAAATTTATTGGTTTTTTAACTTTTACAACAGAAACAAAATCATATAATACCTCGAGTAAATACATTAAATGTTCCCTCTCTATTTCCCTCAAATAATATACTGTAACCTATTTAACATAATCCATTTCTACATTACATATCTATAAATCCTAATCCTGTTTTTGAACTTTATTAATTTACAGTTACCGTAGTCCAATTTGATCTTAGATAAACGTATTATCACTTCAGGTATCCCTTTAATACTAATTAATTTGGGAGTTTTGATGAAATTTACTTATTATGCCAGCAATTCTGGGCTAATAGGCAGGCATTTCAAAACAAAAACTGCTTGAAGTTTGGTGAGAGAATTAGGGTCTCTGCAAGCACACGAAATGCATGCTGTCAGTGTAGATGTTTGAGATTTCTGTAAATGTAATTCACAATTATTAAGTATTTCAGGTTCACCGTGTAATAATTGTGGCAGAAAGCATGGTAGCCCTACCTTCAAAACCCTAGTGGATATGAACATATATTGACCAATCAATTGATTTGAATTACATAGACATTAATCTGTCTTGCTTCCTGCTGTTTGTAATCTAGCCAAATTTTTCATGCCACTAATTTATAATAATACATATACCTGTTTCCCCACTTCTTGCTATATAATTTGTTTCTTTCATTTTAGGTATACACAAATAATGCTCATTGCTGCACCATATCTACTCTATGGTTGTCAGCATTACTCACACTTTGCAGAGATTGATCTGATATTTAACCTTAAAGAAAACATTAATTTAATTAAATATATAACTAAAATACATTATAATGTCCCAACAACAAGACAATGTGTTGCAATGTACTTATTTTACCTGTCTCCTTGAACTTGGCTATCAGATCAACAACTGAGAAAAATTTAATTCACTTGGCATTGAAAGGCAGAGAAATCATTATTTCATCACAATCATTGTCCAGCATTTCTATGAAAATTAAACCAATGGAAAGCTCCAAACTTTATGATCATCCCTGGATAGTTGAAGAAGCAAAACCTTATAACCATAGGAAAGAACTTTTATCAAATGGATATGATATTTGGTTACATGATCTGTGATGCTGGGCTAATCCAGCCATTAAACTGAGGCAATCCAGCATTCCTTATAAAGAATAACTGAAGAAAAGTTTTAAGTTTCATTTGCACTCCATCAATATTTCATTTGCACTCCATCAATATTCCTCTCAGATATCACTTTCTGAGGACTTCCATTCCCTTTCGTTACTTTGCCTGTAACAAGAAGGGGCTTTTAGAATGTATGATTTGAGAGACTGAGAGAGTGACCACTGTTTATATTACTAAAATACATCTTTAAAATCTCCTAGGAATCCTTAGCAATTAAAAGGTTTCTAAATCTACAGGATGGGGGCCAGCATCTTTACATACTTTTCACTTCAATAGATGCCATTGGGCAGAACTATGTTTTGTGTGCAGATGAGTTGCTGTAGGAAGATTTTTTAAAATGTAAGAAAGATATAAAATATTTTTCTTAAAAAAAATCACAGGGTTCAATATCAGATGTGATTAATCTTTTGTTATGAGATTTAACTGGCTCCAACTTATTAGCCTTCAAGAAAGTTTCAAGGATCTGGTTGTTCCCTTGGGCTTTGGGGACAGGATATTTGATAATTTTTAATCAGTCATGTGATCTTGGATCTTGGATCCAGACAGGAATTTTTGCATGTGAAATCTTTCCTATCTAGGCATTACTTACCCATGTCATTTTTCAGTAACAATCAGCAATAACACATCTAATTCCAACTCTAAATCCAATGCTATTATTTAATTTTCTTCCATCTTTGGTCAAGTAATATCAGTCTTTACCTACTTGGGAACAACACTGTTATTTTTAACTAAACTGGGTCCTGGCAACAGGAAGACATAGTCAGTCCCAGTCCAGCCCAGGTAGCCTTTATATATGGCAGGTCTTTTTGTCTGTTCTGAGCTACAGGGGCTGCCTGACATTCAAAGGGTCTTGAGCGTTTGGCACCTGTGCAGCTGGTATCAAATTCAAAGCTGGGGCATTTTGCCTTTTTGCACATCTACAATTACCATCATTTTGTGCATCAGCAGCATTTCTCACGCTAGGCTTTTCTTTCCTGATGTTGATATTCCATTTTAATATTCAGCAATTGTTGAGAAAGGACATATAAACATTGAAGCCACAGATACAGAAATCCATTAAGTTCTACTGAGAGGCAATGAATTGGAAGCAGATGTTTGCTATATATGAGGCGACAACCTTAGAAAGTGAGATGAATGCTGAAAAGAAAGAAAACAAAAAGAGTTAACTTAGATTCATAGAGAACTATAATCAAACGTTATCCATATCCACTATAAGAAAAAAAGACAAAAACAATAGCTATTAATACTGACTTTGTAAATTCCCTGTTTCCCCCTGCTGTTTGATGAATTTCTAAAGCATAATTGGAGCATTTACAGAATATATTTTTAATACCTCATTACCCAGATCTGCTTCAATTCAGTGATTTCAATTTTTTTTAGACAAGTGGTCTTTATCAAAGGACTTAGCAAATGAATGCAAAGAAAAGGCTCAATAAATGGAAAATATATACTTCAAATTTCATATCTTTGATATGAAAGGTGCAACCTTCACCTCACATGTTGACTCCAATTTCTCATAATGAAGTCTTTCTTGGTGCAGGTTGGCTTATTATTGTCTTTACTCTAAGCTAACAATATCATGTAATTATTAACGTGGCATTGAAATGTTTCTATCTTTTTAAACAACATGGGCAGAAGACAAAAGATCATTAGGGATAATGAGGGCAGCTGCACCAAGTGGGCCCATCTTCACTCTGGCACCTGCCAAATAAGCCTATTTAAAAACTGAATATTGTTTGAGATCATCCCTGCATATCCCACCCCTTCAATTGATTTCAGCGGTTTCATTACTTTTAGGGATTATGTTCTGTTGCTTTGGGAACAGGAGATTAGGGCCTGAACAAATGCTAGCTGGCAATGAGTCGTATCCATGGGAGCACTATACTCACATGACAGTACTGAACTGTGGTGAACGTATCCAAAAACAGAAAAAAAATCTGTTTTAATTTGCAAAGCATGTGAATGTATGCACTTACATCAATAGAGGACCCTAATTATATCTGTACCAAATGTAAATTAATTGAAACACTTGAAGAAAAAATTAAAAGTCTAGAAGAAAAATCAAAGGGTCTAGGATAGCCACTGTTATGTCCTGGGCCTGCTGAGTGACTCAGCAGGTGCAGGAAGCTGCAGAGAGGCCCAGGCAGACCACGTGGATGCCCGGGATCAGACAGGCTGTCTCCAGCCTATTGCGCATGCGCAAGGCAGGAGAATCCATTGCAATGATTGGCTGACATTTTCCCTGCAAAGGAGTATAAAAGGAATCCGCACCATTTTGTATTGGTTCTGTTGTGATTTGTGATTTGAATAAAGAGAATAAAGAGAAGACTGTTGTTACTCCTGCCTCGTTTCAATGCCTTTACATCGAAAACAGAACATTGGTGATGAAAGTGGGATCTGCTGCAAGGGAAACAATGAAAATAAGATAGGCTGACTCACCACGGAAAATCTGAAGCTGAAAACACCAGCCAGAAGATGACGAATGGGACTTCGTCGAAACATTACCAAGACACTTCCAATTTTATGCGGGAGAAAACCCGAATAACCAAAGATCTACACACACACACACACATACACACACACACACACACACACACACACACACACATATATATACATATACATATACATATACATATACATATACATATACATATACATATACATATACATATATATATATATATATATATATATATATATATGTATATGTATATGTATATATATATATATATATATTCTGAGGTTTTCGTGGGTGTTTGTATGTAGGTTTTTGGTTATTCGGGTTTTCTCCTGCATCAAATTGGAAGTGTCTTGGCGACATTTTGACGAAGTCTCATTAGTCATCTTCAGGCTGGTGTTTTCAGCTTCATGCTTCTAGGAGCAATGTGTGATCGTAGCTGTTTCTTCCTTTTAACTGCCAGTGGGGATATGAACTGATTGGATGGGAGCTTGGCTGTGTTCTGATTGGATGGAGGTGTGTTCTGATTGGTTAGGAGCTTGGCTGTGCTTTGATTGGATGGGAGTTGGCTGTGCTCTGATTGTTTGGGGGAGTGTTCTGTTTGGGTGGGGGCTTTGTTATGCTCAGGTTAGTCTGAGTTGCAGGGGGATTTAAGATGGTGGGTTGCCTTGCTATTTTTTGGCATCGCGTTCGTGGTCGTGCCTCATCTTCATGGTGGGTGTCAGTTTGCTTTATGTATGGATTGGAGGGGTTTAAAGTGGCTAATGATGCAGCTGTGGTCTGGCTTCTTGTTTGTGGTTGTGCCTCATCACGTGCACGCATTGAAGAACATAAGTACATGCATTGAAGAATATAAGTCAAAAAAGAGGAACCAATTCTTCCCTGGTCCAACACCTTAAAATCACAGGACATGAAATTGGCTTTTAAAAGACCAGAACTATCGCCAAAACTGAACACTTTAATAACAGAATAATCAGAGAAGCTATCGAGATAGAAAAACGCCCACACAGCATGAACAAACGAGATGATACCTCCTGCCTACCAGCCATTTGGAAACCCGCCTTATTGACAAACGAGTCCTTAACACAAAGAATGACACCAGACCCACACTCACAAAAACCACACAGGATGTCACCACCCCACATCCATGCAAAAAGCAAACCCAAACCCACATCGATGATGAGGCACGACCACAAACCATAAGCCAGACCACAGCTTCTACAAAGACCTACATATAAACACCCGCGAAAACCTCGGAAAACACACACACACACACACACACACACACACACACGCAATCTTGAATATATAATATATATATTCTCTCCCATCCCCTTGTGCACATTGTGATCACAAATTCCATCTTCTTCCCGTCTGACAAGGAGCTGGGGGAAGTTTACAAGCAGCTTCAATGGAATCAGTGGAGAATGTGAGGGTTTTTACTTTATATAGTGACTATTCTTATCCTTCCTAAATTGCATTCTAATCTCGTCTGAGGAAGTTCTTATGATGCTACTTTTTAGATAACTGCAGACCATGGAGAAGAGATAAATGCCAAGAACTATGACTTCCCAGTTACTTCAAAGGAAAATGAAGCATTTACCTTTCAAGCCATGAACTCATATGACCTAAGGCAGTGATGGCAAACCTTTTAGAGAATGAGTGCCCAAAACCCAGCCCTGTCCTGCCCCCCATTCTTCCCCCCCCACCTGCCCCGCTCCACCCCAAGCTCTGCCCGCCCACAGAGCCACCCACTGCCTCCACGGCCCACAGCAGATCACCCAGGAAGCCCAGCAATGCCATGGCAGTCCTCCCTCCACCCCTCGCCCCGCAGCATCAACTGCGTGAGATGGGGTGCAATAGCAGAGTCTTGTCTCTGCTGCCCAGCTGCCATGTCCTTAGCTATGTTGCTCTCCACAGGCCTCGCTTGGGAGTGACTCTCCTCTGGGGGGGCTGCTGGTGAGGGGGCCGTGGGGAAGGTGGGGCTGGGCAACGGTGCAGGTGCCCACAGCGAGGGCTCTGAGTGCCACCCCTGGCACATGTGCCATAAGTTCGTCACTACTGACCTAAGAGTCAAGCAGATATATAAGCAGGTAGAATGTTAGTGATTTCAAGAAGACAATCATATGTTATCATCTCCCTAGGAATAGAGAGAGAACTTGTAAAGAAATTATGAGTTGACATATTCACTTGTATTATACTGTTATAGTGATAATTATCTTCTCTTTCTCTACTGCTATACTGCTCTGGCATTTTATTTTTGAATGAACCAATATATAGCTATTGTGCTGTATATAGCTATATATTGGTTTATTCAATGCAATGTATAAAGCCCCAGAGTTAATTGTGATTACCATATTCGATATTCAGTTGTTGAGATATTCCAGAGGTGGAGAAAAAAATAGTGCAAATTACACCTTGAGAGAAGAATGTATCAGATGTTCCATCCAAGAACCTATATATAGTCAGTAGTGTGAAGTCACAGAAGGAGGATCTGACAAACGTAATCACATTGAGGGAGAAACAATAAAACTATCAGCTAGTTGATGACAGTGGAAGATTTGAAACCAGATTCTAGATTGTGATGCTTTTTTTTCCCCAGTTTGGATCAACCTAAAGTTCTTAATATCAAAAGAGTAATCTCAGCTATGCAGGCAATAAGAGCGCAGGCAATGACCTGAAGCTTTCCATTAATATTATTGAACTAAGTTAAGTTCTCCCCATAACATAGGTCTAACTGAAGAGACCATTTCTGAGATCACAACTTAATTAAAAGGGTGTTGTTCTTTCAACTAAAACCTGGTTATATCAAATGTATTAGAAAACAAATGTTCGATAGCATAGTAATTAAACATATATTTATTAATTGTATATTTCTACACAGACCACTTACATAGGATTATAACTTAGGTTTTGTATGCATATATTTATATCTGGAGATATATTGTCCCCAACAATCTGGATCTTGATTTTACCAACCTTGGAAGGATGGAAGGCTGAGTCAACCTTGAGACAGTTAGAATCGAACTGTTGGTAGTCAGCAGATTTAGTCTGCAATACTGCAATCTAATTAATGTGCCACCATGGCTCTTTTAGTCATTTATGCTCCAAGTAATAGGAATGCTAGTGTATACCAGCCAGGGAAAGACTGTTACGGTGCCATGATATCTTAATAGCATGTTTTATTCCTCATACACAACCTATTAGGTATACAGTATGTCTATTACCTGCACATGAGTTTTGAGTTTGAATTACAACCTTTGCAAGACAATTGTGCCACAGGCACACTGGATTTATTTCTAACTCCTCCCTAAATTTCCTATGAGGATTTGGCTGAAAGATCTAATGTAAGTTTTATTTTCAATTCATTTCATGCTCACTGGCACACAGTTCTTTCCATTAGGGAGACACTGGCTTGCTCAAACCTCACGAGTTTGGAAAGCAGCCTTGCTCGTATGTCCATTTTCAGGCCAATGACAAGCTAATAATGGGAGCATCCAGAACTGACTAGTACTTTTAAATCTATCTGTGCCCCCATCTTAGGGATTATGAGTTTGGCAGGCAGTGAGAAGGGTGGGACGTTGACTCACCATTGGGTCATTTTCTCCTTCGTCATCATTGTCGTAGGAGGGTAGAGTGGTGGCAGGTCCAGCTTCGGTCTTGGCACTCTCCAGCG